AAAAGACTTATATTTGTTAATTTATCTATTTATTTTATTTTTTGAGACAAAGTCTCACTATGCAGCCCTCACTCTCTTGGAACACACTATTGTAGACCAGGTTGCCCTGGAATGCAGAGATTTGCTCATTGCTGCCTCCTGAGTGCTAGAATTAAAGACCTGTGTCATCTGTAGTATTTATTTACATTTCCTTATTGATTGATGATGCCAAGTACTTCCTTGTGCTTTTGGCCATTTGTAAACATAGGGACATATTAAGTCTTTATTCCCATTTTCAAGATTAGATTGCTTTTGTTGAGTTTTAATTGTACATTCTAGATATGAACCTTCATCAGGCTCTCAAGGTTCTCCCTGTATGAGGGTGCATGAGCTAATTGGCAGTGTCTTTCAATATTCTTTTTTCCCACCCAAATTGATAGCATTTTTTCATCATGTTTTATGAAATTAAGGCAAACACAGAAAAAAAAATTCTGTGGGAGTTAGACTCTCCTAAGCCTGGTTTCTGTTGACAGCCTTCTGGAGCTGAGCTCTGCGGAGAACAGGTAGCTTCAGCTTTCTTCTGAGACACAACAGCAAGGTCAGCCTTGAAAGCCAGCACTAGGCAGTGCTGACAGTTGGAGGCTATTCTGGGACCCAGAAGACTTTGTTTTGTAAGGCCCTGCACTCCCAAATTAACTCTGGCTTTGGTTAACCCCCAGCCACTTTAGCCTTTGATACAGAGAGCAATCTGTAAGTACAGTAGAAAGATCACAGTATCCATATTATTGATAAAAGAAGTATTTTCCCTTGCAGAGAGCTTGTCTTTACTACATGTTGATTGTGAACAACCTTTATTTACCAAGCAGTTTAGGAATTGCTAGTTCTTTTTGAATGCGAATTAAGTACATATTTCAGAGCTTAAAACAAAATTTTACTCTAGTAACATTCTTGTGTGCCCTTAGGAATACAGGCTATGAGGAAACAAAGTTAAGCCACAGTGGAAGATATTTGCCTTAAAGGCAAAGAAGTTCCCCCATTGTTGTCACTATCAACACCCAAAGATTAACTTCCTTGCTAAAGAAAGGAATGAATTCTTGTCTGGAGAATTGAGGATAGCTCTGGGCAGCGGCATGGGCAGAGTTTTACAGATGGGTGAATTTGCTCATGGACCATGCTGCATGAGTCAGCAGCACATCTGCAGATGGAGTGGGCAGAGGACATCTAAATTTAGTCGTTGTTCACTGGAGAAGCTTTCAGGGAGCATCCCCCCTGACTCTCATCTTGCTCTAGTCATATCCTCCTGGAACCAAGGCAGGTGGGTGGAGGAGAGGCAGGGCAGTCAAAGGTTTCAGACAACAGAGTCCTCTGGCTCTGTTTCTTTGTACCACTGACTAGAATGATTCTTTCCAGTTCAGCCATGAAACATATTATTTTCTTAAAATATAATTCCTGGATTTAAGAATGCACAGTACTCTAAAAATTAGAGTATTTTCTGAAATTAGACTTCTAGATTCCTAAATCTGGCTAGTTAAGAGACATTTTGAATCAAATTACTTTCCTCCCATAAAGAGCCGTGGTGAGTGAGGATTAAATACATTTGGTGTGTGTGTGGCTGTTAAGCGTATTGACTTAAAAATAGTGCCAGGAATGTGCCCAGCTCTCTGAGGTGGATGAGGACACTGACACTGGTTAGGTACCCCTGTTCAAGCCTATGTGCATCAGCAGAATCCTGCAGTCTGTCTTACTGCAAATGCTAAAGCTTTTAAGTTTTGTTCTTCACTTCATAGAGGGACTGGAGACTGGTTTGTAGAGTTGGGGTATGTTATTTTATTCAAAGTAATTCAGAGATTCTTGTTCTGCCTAATCTCTACCCCTCTCAATGTCTGCACTCAAATGGTTGTAATGTTTTTATTAAAGTATATGAAACAATTGAGTCTCACATAGATATATTCTTGGGAACAGAAAGGGCATTTTAATCAACCGTGTAGTCAGTTATGGGAGTTGTTCTTAGACAGTATAGCAAAACTTCAATAGTGATAATTTTGTTTTTTTGCTTTTTTAATGGTGGTTGTCATGTATTGTTAATCTTGAACTTTCTATGCAATAAAAGATGATGAATCTCTAATCCTCCTGCCTCTACTTCCCATGTGCTGGGATTACAGATGTGCATTGCTGCATAGTTTATGAGATGCTGGGGATTGACCCCAGGTCTTTTTGCATGCTGGGCAAACACTCTATCAACTGAACTACATTCCCAGCCTTGTTAGTTTGTTAAGTGTTACTGTCACATTAAAACCACCCATTAATCAGCTGGGTATGATGGCACATGCCTTTAAAACCAGCATTTGGGCACCAGAGGCAGGTGGATCTCTGAGTTCGAGGTCAGCCAGGGCTACATAAAGAGGTCCTGTCTATAGAACAAAACACAGCAAAATGCATTAATCTAACTTGTTTTTTTAATTAATCTTTTACTGATGCCTGATTTCCTAACATTATGTATTTAATATTTGAAAAACACAGGTTCGTTGATTTATCTATATCTGTCTTCCATAGAGAGACACACTTCTTATATAGTACCAACTGATCATACTTGCAGATCATCCCAGTGTATGTATCAGAAGAGCATCAGGAAAGTGTCAAGCTCTTGACAGTTTACTTCCCAAAATCTCATTTTTATTTGCATGGTCAAATTTTGTCATAACAGGAAAAATTCATTGTTTTCTTTGAGACTTATTGCTCATTTTGACATCTGAATAACAAGTACTTTTTGTCAGTTACTGTTTCAATACAAATAGTATTCTGTGAAAACGTGGCTAGTTCATGTTGCAGCCTCGCACAAGTACTTTTCCTGGAAACAACCATTCTAATTTAGGAGCCTCTGCAGGGCTTCATGTATGCTTTCAAGTTGTCACACAGAATATTAAAAGACTTATCCTCAAATACTTAGGTTTAATTAAGTTAATAACATTTTAAATGATTTATTTTTATTTTATATGTATGAGTGTTTTTCCTGTATGCAAGTCTGTGCACCGTATACGTGTGGTGCCAGAAGAGGATATTAGGTTCCTTTGAACTGGAGTTACAGATGATTATTAGCTGCTGTGTGCGTGCTGGGAATCAAATCTGGGTTCTTTGGAAGAACAACCAGTGCTCTTGACCACTCAGCCATTTTTCCATCCCCTAAATTAACAATCTTCATTGCTTCATGCTGGTCATTTTTAGGTTGAGTGGTCTCTTGATGCAGTTATTTTGATTTATACTAAGGTACCAGCAATTTTTCCCAGTGCTTTGGCATCATTAGTGCAAATGTCAACACAATGAAAAGATAATCAGTTTCCTAATATTATTGAGAAGACAATTTTTATTTGGCTGAAGAAATTATTTCTCAGCTACTGTTTTAACTATTTATTTATGTGAAATATGAAGGAAGGTGTAACATGAGGGGCTGCTTGTTGGGGTTTCTGTCTTGTCCAGTTCTCACAGCCGGTAAGTCCCAAAGAAAATCACAAAGAGGTCTCCGTAAGTTATAAACTGATTGGCCTGTTAGCTCAGGCTTCATATTAGCTCTTATAACTTATATTAGCCCATTATTCTAATATATGTTAGCCACATGGCTCAGTACCTTTTTAGTGGGACAGGTCACATCCTGCTTCTTCGGTGTCTGGACAGGACTGGGGGCAGAGCTTCCTTCTTCCCAGAATACTCCTGTTCTCATTGCCCTGCCTCTACTTCCTGTCTGGTTGTCCTACCTATACTTCCTGCCTGGCTACTGGCCAATCACCGTTTATTTAAAACATAATTGACAGAATACAGAATTGTCCCACACCATGAAGGGATTCACAGGCAGGTTTTCTTATTTATTATTTTTTGAAACAGTGTCTCCTTATAATGTCTCATCATGGCCCAGGTGTCTAGGAACTTGTGGCAGTGCTTCTGCCTCAGTCTCCTGAGTGCTAAGATTCAGGCATTTTGCCACCATAGGGTCATTTTGCCACCACTGGACCATAGGTATGTTTTTAAAAGATAGTTTAATTTCCTTCTAGGTCCTTAATTTTCATACTCTGGAACTGTCTAAGCCTGAATATTTATCCTTGTCAATTAGGCTTTTTTTTATTTTCTATTTTTCTTCCTCTGCCTCTCGTGTGTGTGTGTGTGTGTGTATGAATGTGTACAAGTATATGTCTGTACATGAAGAAGCCTGAGGACAACCTTGGAGTATTGTTCCTCAAGTGCTGTCCACCTTTATTTTTTCAGGCAGGGTCTCTCATCGGCCTAGAGCTTCCTAATAGGTGAGGCTGGCCATCCAGGGAGCACTAAGGATCTGCCTATCTCTTCCTCCAGTTCTAGAATTACAAGTACACACCACCATGCCCAGCTCTTTTACGTAGGTTCTGGGAACTGAAACAGCCCTGTTGTTGTGTGTATTTTTTTATTTATTTTTAAAGTAGGGTGTCACTGTGCAACCGAGGCTGACCTTAGTCTTGAGCTCTTCTTTCCTTAGCCACCCTTTCCCCAAATGCTGGGGTTACAGGTATGTCCCACCATGCCTGGTTCAACCAGATTTCATTGTGATTAATTTTCTTAGACTTCTTAAAGATTTGAAAGCCTTTAATAAAAGGCTTCTGTGTTTTCCCCTACTCTCTGGTATGAAGGCAGAGAACAGTATCTGTCTGCAACTACATATATTCTTCCCCATACCATTTGAAGCCTTTTAGAAAAATGTATGAAAACGTTTTTAACACACTTTCCTTATTATAATAAAATATACTAAAGTAGCTTCCATTTACAGCACTGTAGAAATCATTTCACAGTTAACCCCATTAATAATCTTAGTACTATAAATAATATTAATATCTAATAGTATTTCTAAGTTTGGAAGTCATACTTCAGACATTTACTAGGAGAAATAAATAAACAATGTATCAGAACTACTGACCAGGGTCATTGTCCAGAACAGTGTCTGGTATGTAATAGAACTCAATAAATCCTTGTTGAATGAATCAATGGGCTTTTTTTTTCAGGCCTGTATTGATGAAAATTTGGACATGGTGAAGTTTCTGGTGGAGAACAGAGCCAACGTAAACCAGCAAGACAACGAGGGCTGGACACCTCTTCATGCGGCAGCTTCCTGTGGTTATCTCAACATAGCAGAGTGAGTGAGCGTCTGTTGTGGGTTTTGTGCAAGCTCCTCTGCTTATCAAAAATTGAATTTTACAAAGAATTATAATCTCTCTAAAGTACAAACAGAAAAATGACTATTAAGAACTAGTTGACACAGTAGTTTGTATCCTTATTAAATGCACAGTTCTTACTTCCAATTTTGTTTGCTTTTGTTTTGTGTAATTCATATTTGCCGGACTAGTCAGAGAGAGCACCAGCCTGATGCACTGTCTGGTTAATTTCTGAACAGTAGAGCACATGCAAGTCAATTGTAGATTTTTTTCCTTTGGACTTTTCTATAAACCTGCTTTATTTGTTTGTTTTTACAAACATTATTGCAGTAAATAGCAAATTATGAGCCAGAACACATATGGCCAAGGCAAGGTAGTGATTGGCATGTGTTCTCCACATTGGTTGAATGGCTATATTTAACATGTTAGTAGCTGCTGACCTCCGGGGGCAGATTGCCCTCTCTAGAGTAGAAGAATCTTGATCACCTGGTACCTACTATATGAGAAGCACAAAATAAGCTTCTGTTAAATGAAAGAATGATCAGAAATTTTATTTCTAGTTAGGAAAGAAACTTTGGCAGTTGAAACATTTTTAAAATTTGCAGGGCAAACTTAGATTAATAAATCTAATCAGGATAGTCTATGATCTTTTGAAAATCAGATCAGTTAAGTCCTTTTCAATGATACAACTGCAGCTAGCACTTTTTTTTTTCTTATTCGGCAAACATCAGACAGTCATGTAGAGGTCTAATAACTGCATTTGCCCAGGTTATCTGGAGCATTGCTGAGTGGCTGGGTTTCCTTGAAGCACGAATTCTCAGTTGGAGAAGTATCGGTGTAGAGACACATGAGGCATCAGTGCGGGTGTTGGACAGGGCTGTTGTTTAGGTGTAGATAACTGGAGTGGCCCCAAAGCCAAGACCACTGGATCGTAGTTTCCTTTGTTCTAAGTTAGTATGGATCTGTAACCTCTTTGTCATCTAGGCTGCCTCCATTTCAGGCTCATTGAAAAGGCTCTGATTCTATATTGTACTCACTAAGTCAATGTTCCAAAGCCTAGGACTGAAGATGACTTCTTCATCCACTTTGGATCTAACATTTAGGAAATGTAAGGCATATTGGCTTCTCATTATTCGTACTTGAGTATGAGTTCAGGTGGAATGTTTGTGATTGAGCTACAAAATCTCATTACATTTAAGAATTTAGTTTTTTTTTTTACCCATTTTTTTTCTTTCTAAATTATCTAAGACCAGCTGAGTCTTAGAGTGTAATATAGGTGGTGTTATCTTTTGGGAAAGCTGAATAGAGAGAATTATTGTAATGCCTTTTGTGGAATATTACCTTGAATGAAGTAAGTTTATCAGTGACCATCACAACTTATACATAAACATGTCTGAGCATAGTGAGCTGATCCAGACTGGAATCCACTGCAAATGTGGGGTGGAGGTAGAGATGGCATGCTTTAGTTTACCTTGTAATATACACATTATCATTAGATAAGTTATTTTATTTTTATATGCCCTGGTGTTTTTTTTTTAATTTTTTTCTTTTTGATTTTTTGAGACAGGTTTTCTCTGTAGCTTTGAGGCTTGTCCTGAAACTAGGTCTTATAGACCAGGCTGGCCTTGAACTCACAGATATCTGCCTGCCTCTGCCTCCCAAGTCCTGGGATTAAAGGCATGAGCCACCACTGCCCGGCTATACTGTTGTTTTTGCTATGGGTATCAGGTCCCCTGAAACTGGAGTTACAGACAGGTGTAACCGTCCATATGGGTGCTGGTAATTGAACCTGGGTCCTCTGGAAGAGCAGTCAGTGCTCTTAACCCCTGAGCCATCTCTACTGCCCCCAGATACGTTTTTATTTTACTCTCCTTATTTTTAATATTTTTATACAACAGATCAGGGAAATAACATGATTATTTAATTGGGGATTGAAACAGAGCAATGGCTCAGCATTAAGAGTCCTGGCTGCTCTTCTGTAGGACCTGGGTTGGAACTGCAGCATTCACATAGTCACCTACTACCCTTTCTTAACTACAGTCCCAGGGGACCTAGCATCCTCTTCTGGTCTCCAAGGACTGTGCACACATGTAGTGCACAATTGTTGGGACAAAACACCCATCCACACGAAATAATAAAAGTATTTAAAAAATTAATTAGAGACAGGGTATCACCGTGTAGCTCTGACTGACTGTGGGCTTAATGAAGCCCAGGCAACCCATGAACTTCAATCTTTCTGCCTCCATAGCTCAAGTGCTGGGGCCACATGTGTGCCAACTCCACACTGGCATGTTTGTATCTTGAAGAACTTACACCTTAAACTTATTTCTAGGATAATTGGTAGTACTGGCCTTCAAGGGAATGGGAATGGAGGACAGAGAAACTGGCTTTTGTTTTTTTCAGAAGAAACCCATGGCCATTTTATTTCCTCTTCCTTGGTGATCCTTTCTGCCTTGGCCCCCACCTCTGTGTGTGTGTGTATGTGTGTGTGTATTTAGAGTTTATTTTTTTCTCATTTTGAGTTAAAATTGAGTACTAGTTTGCTAGATTATGCCTAATGGTGTTTAATTTAGAAGCAGCAGATTGTCCCAAACATTTAGCATGACTTAGAGTTTATTACAATGCTAACTTATTTCGAGATTTTTTAAAAACACATTTTTTCTGTACTTTTTTTTCCCCTTTAAAGACTAGCAAAGGGACCCAGTGAGATGGCTCAACAAGTGAAGGCAGTTACCATCAAATCTGAACAGGGCATTTGATCTTTGGAACTCTCATGGCAGAATGAAAAGACTGATTCCTGCAAGTTGTCATTTGACCTTCTTGTATGTTTCATGGCATGCTCATGTGCACATAGATAGATAGATAAATAAATGAATATTAGGAAATAGTAGCAAATACTATTTAGGATGTTAGGAAATGGTAGCAAAATACCTTTTATTAGCGCTCAGCTAGGCTTTCAAGGGTCATATGTGGAGCTAACAGCAATTCCAAGCATCTAGACAGCAGGCTCCTCCAGTGTCCTGCTGCTTTCTAGTTCGTATGCTGATGTTTACTCTCGTCCAGTACAAGTGCAGTGCTAAAGCTCTTTATGCTTCTACTATGAACTGGGGAAATGTGAAAAATGGAAAGCAGTGTTCCTTGGTATAAGCCATTTTTCTTGATCGTTAGACTTTGAACAGATCAGAAAAGGGAAGAGTGGCAGCCTGTGTAACCTGACCTAGGAAGAGATGTTAGAATGGAGACCAAAATATTCAGTTTAAGCAATGTTAATAGTATTCCAAGAAAAGAGCAAAAGCATCAAGATAGTGTCTGCTATGGAAGAGGTGCAACTGTAGATCAGGCTGTTCTCGGATTCTGCCTGCCCTTGCCTCCCGAGTGCTGGGATTAAAAGTGTGCACCACCACCACCTGGCCAGGCAAGATTCTTGAAGCAAAAGAGTTTGAAATGGACCTTGAAAGATGTGAGAGATATGTAAAAGGGAAAAGAGAAGGGAGTTTGATCCATTTACTTAGAGGAAATAGTTCACCCTAAGGAGCAGAGCTGAGTGTGAAGGGGTTGGAGGTTGTAGAAACTAATACTGGTTGGGTTTGACTAGAGTATATATTTCAGTTCAACCAATATTTATTGTATGCTTATTATATATACTATTGTATATTGATTTTTTGCATAGTACAGGAGGTATGGTTGAATGCTCATTTGGCTTGAGAGGAAGAAACCGGAAAAGAAAAATTGTCAACTATGGAATAATGAAGGAATAATTGGATACAGTGGTGGCACTTGATAGATTTAAATTTATGGATAGAGGGCATTAACTTTAGAGTTGAGTAAGGTGTCTTTCTCTGAGTCTCTGAGGGAGGAAATGCCATTGAGCTGTCTTAGGCAGTGTTCTGTTGCTATGAAGAGACACAATGACCACAGCAAATATTATATAGAAAAATATTTAACTGGGGCTGGCTTAGAGTTCAAAGGTTTAGTCCATTATCATCATGGCAGGAAGTGTGGCAGCATGCAGGCAGATATGGAGGAGTAGCTGAGGTTCTACATCTGGATCTGCAGGCAGCAGAGAGAGAGAGACTTGAAGCTTGGCTTGAACATCTGAAACCTCAAAGCCCATTCCCAGTGACACATTTCTTTCAACAAGGGCACACCTCTGAATCCTTTCAATGTGCTACTCCCTGGTGACCAAATAGTCCATCTATGAGCCTATAGGGGTCATTCTTACTCAGTTCATCACAAGCTGTGTATATGTGGAGGTGATTTATCAATATTTATCGAGGCCTTATTATGCCAGGAGACTAGGCACTGAGAAAGCAAAGTTATGCTTTTAATTTAATTTTTATTGATTTTTTTCTCTTTTGTCAACTCTGAAGTACATGGGCCATACATAAGTTGATTTTTTAAAATATTTATTTATTTATTTATTATGCATACAATATTCTGTCTGTGTGTATGTCTGCAGGCCAGAAGTGGGCACCAGACCTCATTACAGATGGTTGTGAGCCACCATGTGGTTGCCGGGAATTGAACTCAGGACCTTTGGAAGAGCAGGCAATGCTCTTAACCACTGAGCCATCTCTCCAGCCCCCATAAGTTGATTTTTTAAAAATATTTTTTTATTTTATTTGCATTGGTGTTTTTCCTGTGTGATGAGAGCATTGGATACCCTAGAACTAGAGTTACAGACAGTTGTGAGCTGCCATGTGGGTGCTGGGAACTGAACCTGGGTCCTCTGGCAGCACAATCAGTGCTCTTAACCAGTGAGCCATCTCTCCAGCCTCCATATATTGTTATGTTTAAGAAAATCTAGCCCCACTAAAATGTGGTTCTTTGAATATCATTATAGTAGATCAATAAACGTTGATTTAATTGTTGATGTTTATTGAATTGCTAAATGAATTGGAAGATAATTTATATAGTTTTACTTTCCTTTTTAAGTAACTCTGGCTGTGGGTGGTGGTGGAGCATTCCTTTAAACCCAGCCCTTGGGAGGCAGAGGCAGACGAATCTCTATGAGTTTGAGGCCAGCCTGGTCTACAGAGCAAGTGCCAGGACAACTTCCAAAGCTACACAGAGAAACCCTGTCTCAAAAGCCCCCCCACCAATAAATAAATAAAAGTACCTCTGAATGTCTGATAGTCCTAGAATTATTGGGATTATCTATCTATCTATCTATGAATTTATTTTTTTATTTTTTTATTTTTTTTCCAAAGCAGGGTTTCTCTGTGTAGCCTTGACTGTTCTGGAACTCGCTCTGTAGACCAGGCTGACCTTGAACTCACAGAGATCTGCCTGTCTCTGCTTCCTAAGTACTGGGATTAAAGGCGTATACCACCACCTCCTGGAGTATTATTTGGATTCTAATTGCCTAAAACTAATTTGATCTAGAATTACATGCAAAAGACTGACACTGCTACCAGTACTAGTATGTGTTTTTGAGAAAAGTTACTTTTTTTCTTATTTTAATTTTTTTTTTTTGACAGCACTGGGGCTGTAGAGATAGGCAGAATTCTGTGAGTTAGAGGCCAGCCTGATTTACAGAGAGAGTTCCAGGACATGCTCCAAAGCTACAGAGAAACCCTGTCTCAAAAAACCAAAACAAACAAACAAAAATTTTTTTTCATGAGAAATTTACTTAATATCTTTGAACCTCAATTCTCTAAGAACAACACTTTTTACATATAATTTGAACAATGTTTTTTGCATGTAATTTGTGTGTTGTTGTGTGCGATGGTTTGCATATGAAAGTCAGAGGGCCACTTGTAGGACTCCATTCTCCCCTTCCACCATTAGGGATTGAACTCAAGTGATTGGTTTGTCAGCAAGTGCTCCCTCCCCCACAACTGGAGTTAGGAACCTCAGTTTCTTAAGGTGTAAGTCTTTATCATAGTTTTATTTAAGATTGATTTGTGTGCGTGTGTGTGTGTGTATGTGTTTGTGTGTCTATGTGTGTGTGAGAGAGACAGATAGTCAGAGACAAAGCACTTTGAAAATTAAAAGATACAGATAAAGTATTGAAATTATCAGCCCCTTTTCCTTCAGGATACATATTCTGTATGGATTTAGAATCTGCTTTGCATTTTAAATGTTTCTTCAGTAATTTAATTTCCTTTATGAATGTAGATTCATATAGATGACTTATTATGGAAGTTAAATTCATGCAAATTCTAAATACATATTTTATTCCTCAGTTTTCACACTCACATTACTAAGCAAATTTCAGTTTAGCACTGCAAACAAATTTTCATGAGAACTCCTTATTTACATAGCTTTTTAATTTTCTTACTTTTAATGCTGGAAGTATAGTAAGTCTTTTTGAAAATTTATTTGGATCCCAGGCTGTATGAATGAAGGCTGAATGTCTGCACTCTTTTACTTTACTAAAGCAAGGTTTCACTTCATAGTCTCGATTAGTCTTGAACTCAGCGTGTAGGCCAGACTCCTGCCTCAACATCCTGAATGCTAGGATACAGGCTTGACCAAATACCCTACCGTACCCTGCTCCTTATAGTATTTAGAAAGACTTAGTATTTTTAGAAGTGAAAGAATTGGTATTAGGCATATGCACATGTACAAAATCTTTTTGATTTGGTTATATCAGAAAAATGAGTATGTAATAAATATGGATATGTAAGAAAACATTGCTCTTATTGGGAAATGGTGAAACCTATAGTCCTAATTATTGAAGGCTATTAGGGTATGAAATTAATAATAAATTAATAACAGAACACCTCATCTTTACCATGTTTAAAACCCCCAAATATGCCTTGCTGTACATTGAACTCAAGACACAGTACAAACTGATATCAGATTGACAGAGATAATATTGATTTTGTCATACAGGTATTTTATTAGCCATGGAGCCAGTGTGGGAATTGTGAACAGCGAGGGTGAAGTTCCTTCTGATCTTGCAGAAGAGCCAGCCATGAAAGACCTTCTTCTGGAACAAGTAAAGAAACAAGGTAACCTAGGAGACTGGGTGGTTAGAGAGGCTCTCACACTGCCCCTTAAGGAACATAATCCTTCTTCCTTATCATGTGACAGGGCAGGATTAAATCTGTCTGGGTCGCATTCGTCATCAATCCTCTTAATAACTCATACAAGCATAGGCCACATGCCCAAAGGCTGACCAGGCTTTCCTTGTCTTTACTATTCTAAGGTTGTGTACTGACTGATCTTGGAGTTAGGAGTGACCTGAGGAAGATTGTGGACTGTTCTTTTTCTGTGTGTACATTGTATTCTCACCGGATAGTCTGAAGAAAGGCTGGAATCCAGTGTGGCCAAATCCATTTTGTGACTTTGTGTCCTTTCCCTTTGAGAACTACACAAGTGGTACCAAAAGCTATTTATTAAAACCGCTGAAAGGATCTTTAGCCATAGTAACAATGGAAACTGTTCTGATAGTTTCTTTTGTTTGTTTTGATAGACAGGGTCTTACTTCACAGCCCCGCCTGCCCTGCGCTCACTCTGTAGCCTGGACTGTCCTCCGACTTCCAGCAGGTCCTCTTGCCTCCGCCTCCCTGTGTTTAGATTGCGGGTGTGAGCCACCATACCAGGTTCTAGTTGTTTCCTGAGATAAGGAACCAATCTTAGAAGAATATATTCTGAAACTATGTTCCTATTTTGTAGTTTTAGAAGAAACTCATTTCAGGGCATAAGGTAGGGCCTGCTATTAGATACCTCAAAGCCTTTTGTTTTGTTTTTATACCCAGTATTGCCCAGACTGTCCGTGGACAGATGTCTCAAATCTCTTTTCTCCCTACCAGTATTACAGGCAAGCACCACCACACCTAGCTTTTGAATTTTTTCAATTTAATGTTATTGGCTAACTATGGATAGCAAGTCTTAGGATTCTGCTGAAACTGTCATGAAACTCAGGATGGGATCTGTAGTGATTGGAGATAGGGGAGGCTCTTCTAAATGACCAGAAGTTGTTTCCAAAGCTTTAATGTCCTTTAGAACAGTTAGGGCCAAGACTGGCCACACTTGCTTGTTTACTATCCAAAGCTGCCTTTATGCTGTATCAGCAGAGTTGAGTAGAAATGGCAGACTGTAGGGCTGTCAAATCTGCCAGGAAACATTAAGTATCTCACCTATTATAGAAGGCCTGCCTTAAGTGATGGTTATTCCAGGTCCTGCTATAACTAAAGTTCATATGCAGTTCTGTGCCTTACTGAATTAAAATTTTTTATACTAAGTTTTCCTTTCATCCCACTCATTTCATCTCCTAAAATACATTTTTAAAAAAGGTTTATTTATTTTATGTGTATGAATGTTTTGTCTGCATGTACCTCTGCACACCAGAAGAGGGCATTAGAGCCCATAGGACTACAGTTACAGATGGTTGTGAGCCGCCATGTGGGTGCTGAGAATTGAACTCAGGACTTCTGGAAGAATAGCCAGTGCTCTTAACCAATGAGCCATCTTTTCAACCCCCATTCAGTCTCCTAAAATGTTTTACAATTTACAAATTTATAAGTAAGTTTTAGTTTAAGAATCTACTCTTTTTATTTTGATTGTTGACTCTTCTTAATGCTTTGTTGAAGCAAGCATTTGTATGTCTGCTTTGCTTGGCAGCACTGATAGCTCTTACTGGGTCTAAATAGCTTCCTCTTCACCCCATGCATCTCCCCAGACAGACAGGTCTTCAGCAGCTCATGACTTCCTATTTAGGAGCCAAAAAGAAGACTGAAAGCACAGATACATTATACTTATAAGTATGGAACTTTTTGAATGGGTGTGTTTGTATTCTGAACATTTCATTGTTTTGTATAATGAAGAATGTCCTTTCTTAAGACCCTTCTTTACCGGCCTAGATACTGGAAAGTTGATGGATAAAGGGAAGAACTCTTAGAGTACCTCCAGATGATTGCAAGGGAAACAAAATTTACATTGCCTTAAAAACAGACTCTAGTTGACTTTAGATAACTTGGTAATCGCTGGGTTGCTCTATGTAGCTTCAGATAAGAATATACAAGTGCATATGAAAAAGAGCTTGAGGAGGAGTGCCCTTTCCCACAGTATAGCCTACCTGAAATGAAGACTTGATAGTAATCTTGCGGTGTAGTGAGTGGACAAGAGCCAAGAGCATCAAGGAATTTTAATGACAGCTCTGCCATTGATGTGTTTGTGACCATACACAAAGCACCCAGCCTTTCTGTGTTTGTTTTCTCATATGGCAAGTGAGGCTAGTAATAGCAATTATAGTTACCCCACAGGATTGTTGGGAAACAAAGGTCATATAACACGTTAAAGAACTTTGGTATTTATAGTTTCATACAAATATTGTAAGTAAAAATAATATCCCATCTGATTTTATGTTCTCTTGATAATAATGTTAGGTATGTTCCCTTCATGAATGTGTGTGTACCACATAGTGGTTAGCCTGGCTATTTAGCATTGCTAATTTTGTAATACAAATGCCATTGTTTTCAATTTAATCAGTTACCAGCTTAATGAGAAAAGTGTTATCTGTGGTAATATCTGTCAGACACAGGGGGGCTTTAGTAACACTGCTGTCTGGTGTCTGGCTTCTTCAGGCGTTGACCTAGAGCAGTCAAGAAAGGAAGAAGAGCAACAGATGCTGCAAGACGCCCGCCAGTGGCTCAACAGCGGGAAAATAGAAGATGTGAGGCAGGCTCGCTCAGGGGCCACAGCCCTGCATGTAGCTGCTGCCAAGGGTTACTCTGAAGTTCTCAGGTGTGGAGCTGGGCATACCGGGAGAAAAAGAGATGGATTTTAGAAGCAAAAGCTTTTATCTTTTTAACTGTGGTGTATTTTCTTGTTGTTGATTTTCTCTTGCCTTGCAAATTTGCCTCATACTTTGCTGGTGTTCCTTAATGGGTGGTCTCCCTTCCTCTTACCGTCCCTCTTCTTCAGGTACTTTAGGCACAATGGCATGGGAAGACCTCTCTCAGATCTGTGATGCTATCCGGAAACCTCCTCCTCTTTGACTGTACAGATGTGTGACCCTTGTGGTTCTGATTTAGAAAGTTTCTGGGCTCATTAAATCAATTATAGATCTTGAGTGTGCAGTATCCAGTTTTCATATGAGAATTAGACAGGCGTGTATGTGTGTGTGTGTACATGTGCGCATGTGCACACACACTTGACTCCATGGGTAAGAACATCCGCTGCCAAATGTTGACTTAAGTTCAGTCCCCTATGTGCTAGAAAGAGAGAATCGATTCCTCCATGTTGTCCTCTGACCTCAGCTTGTGCATAGTGGCATGTATGTACCCTCACACAAATATACTTGCATGCACAGCACATCAAATGAATCAATTTTAAAATGTAGTTTAAAAAAGCAAGAAAAGAGAGCTAGACTCTACTATTTTACTTGTTTCACTTTTCTTATAGTCGTGCTTTATGTGACTCCTGGTGATTAGTGTTGATTAGAGTTCCAGAATGCAGGGGAGTTAATGGCACTATGTGTACAGTGTTGCTAGACTCTTCTAGTGTTCACATTCTACCTAGTACGGCCTTCCTAGTAGGTATGGTAGTGTGTTGGTGCTTTTTCTCCTTCTGCCTGAACGTGGTAGTCATGTGCTGCTCGGTTCTTGAAAGGATAGCACAGTACAATTTGGGCTTTAGTAATCATATTTTTCCTCTTACATATAACATGGATGCAAGTTAGTCTATAGTTTTATAGCTAGCTTAGCTAGAATCCTCTGTGGGTATTTTAAGAATTGGAGGGATGGGATTCTACAGAAAGCAGTCATGTCCTATAAAGGCCATCTACAAAACTCATTGGTAAAATATCCTAGAGATATCTGAGCTCTCATTTTATATATGAATTCCTTTCTGAACTGGAAAATGCAGAGTATACCCTGTAATAGAGTTGCGTAAGTTGGCTAATTGATTAGGTTTTCGTTAATCTTAGGTGCAGACTATTCTGTGTATTCCTCTTGTATGGCATATGTCCCAGTTGCTTTCTGTTGTTGTAGCAAACACCATGAATAAAGCCATATTAGGGAGGAAAAAGCTTATTGGCTTATTTGTTCTGAGAGCAGTTCATCACTGAGGGAAGGAAGTCAGGGCAACAATTCAAACAAGACCAGAGGCAAGAGAGAAGGCGCTTACTGACTTGCTTCCTGTAGTTTACTCAGTTACTAGGCTCATATAGTTCAGGCCTACCTGCCTAGAGGTGGCACTGCCCACAGTGAGTTGGCCCTCCCCATCGTGGCAATTAAGAAAATGTCCCATAGACCAGTCTGGTAGAGGCAAGTCTTTAGTTGAGGTTCTCTCTTTCTAGATAATCCATGTTTATGTCAGGTTGACAAAAGCTAAATAACAAGCATAGTGTGACATGGCCATGGTAAGCGATGCCATAGGGATGATCTTATGGAGAGGTGCAGTGAAGATTGTAATTGGTGTGAAGTAGCAATAGGAATTGCAGGCTGTTCCTTAGAGGAACGAAGGGATCACAGGATGCCTGAAGGACATCCCGCACCTGAAGCATTAGTGGAGTGGTAGCTTATTTAGTAGAAAACTATAAAATCAAGGGCGTAAATGTACCTTTTGGGTTTCCTTCTAGACTTTTAATTCAGGCTGGCTATGAACTCAATGTTCAGGATCACGATGGCTGGACTCCTCTTCATGCTGCTGCACACTGGGGAGTGAAAGAGGCTTGTTCCATCTTGGCAGAAGCACTCTGTGACATGGATATCCGGAACAAACTGGTTAGTGAGTCTGAACCTCTGAAAGGGCAGTGAGATCAGGTGGCTGGGTGCCTGGTGTAGGCTTAAAATCTCTGTTCAATATCCAGTTGGCTGTTGTGGGGGATGTGCACCACTGTAGCTGTGCTGTCCTCTACCTCCTTGTCTCGCTGCTTGTTATCAATATAATAAGTACATTTGCTAGGTAAAATAAACATCCACCAACCACGTCATCTGGTTCTACTTGTGTTGAAGCCCCTAAAACAAAAGGAAATGAAAAAAAGATATCTGCTCTTGACCACAAATGAACTTTGAGAAACCTAATGTCCTGTCTATGGTGAAATATGAAATATTTTACTATTTTTTTCAACTCAGAGTCTTTTAACAGCTGATCTCTCTGCACAGAGAGTCATTCAAGAACATCTGTAATGGTAAAGATTGTTCAGTTTTGACGAAAGTATTCTTCCCAGTCTCATATCAAACAACTAGAAACCCTGGACTCTTATCCCAAATCGCTTGATTTTCTAGAATCAAGACCCATGGTTTTGTCTGTCTCACATAACTCCTAAATCTAGGTCTCACTCTCAGACTATAGGTCAGAGCATGTGATTGTACTGGTGTTTCCTAAAAGAAATAACCTGGCCAGGCAGTGATGGCATGCACCTTTATCCCAGCCCTTCAGAGGCAGAAGCAGGCAGATCTCTGTGAGTTTGAGGCCACCCTGGTCTACAGAGTTAGTTCCAGGACAGCCAAGGCTACACAGAGAAACCTTGTCTTAAAAAAAAAAAAAAGGCAAGGCAACCAGGAAACCTGCCTGTCTCCCCTCCTCTCCTTAAAGGGAGATCATTCCTATTAGTCTTCAGTGTAGGTGTGCCCCAAACTTTCCTTTGAGGCTTTAAGGGCACTGACTGAATTTATCATCACAATTACACTTTAGAATGGGTATAAATAGGGCTTCCCCTTGGTTATTTGTCAAGAGGCCATAAGCATTAAAAATAGTGACACCGCACCATTTTCTCACTACTGTTGGACACAACAGACTCTGGTTAAAGGATTTGCGTTTCTTAAATTGTCTTGTGACGTGTGAAGGTGCCTCAATGTACGGTAGGCAGATTGGGGAGTCATCTATAGGCTGGGCATCTCCAACCCAAGTCTGAAATCTGAAATGCTTGTAATCTAAGACTTTGTGAGCACTTATTTGATACCCCTAGTGGAAAATTTCATACCATTAAAAAGCACAAAATTATTTAAAATATTATATAAGACCATTTTAGGCTATATGTAAAATATAAACTAATTTTGTGTTTATACTTGGATTCTAACACACATGCACGCGCGCGCGCACACACACACACACACACACACACACATTCTAAAATTCAAAGCACTCTGCTCCTAAGCATGTTGGATAAAGGAGATTCAGTTTGTATCACAGAATAAAATGCAGTAAGTAAATAGTGAATAGTCCCTGATGAAGTCACATGATTGCTGCTTCTGTTTTCTGTCTGTCCTGATAGGGACAGACACCATTTGACGTGGCTGATGAAGGTCTGGTGGAGCACTTGGAGATGCTTCAGAAGAAGCAGACTGTGGTAAGAGCTTTTCTAGCAGTTCAGTTTACTCTGGGTGTCTCGGTCTCTTGCTCTAGTGTCGTTGCTTCAGAGTTGAACTGGATGTATCTGCACTTCACAGATGTTATTTGTTCCCTTAGTCTGCTTGAAGAAACTGTTGTAAAGAGCTACTTACCATGAAATAGCCTACAGGCAGCTAGAAGTCGATTACAGAGAGGAATGTGTTTCTCACTTAATGAAGTAATACTGCAGTTGTCATGTGGTGTTGAACAGTATTTGATTAGTAATGATTCATACTTCAGATCGATAAAACATGTGGAATTCAGACCTCTTATCTTTCCTCCTTTCTTTAAAACCTTCATTGATTTCATCTACCTTTCTGGTTGGTGCTCTGCAGAAGAGTTACATATATATGCTACTCATGAGGGGACCCCCCCCCCCCCGTACACAGGTAAAGAGTGACCAACTCACATTTTTTGCCAGTGAGTAATTTGGACAGGGGAATAAAATTAGTGTTGGACAGAAAGTGAAAAGCCACACTGGGTTTTCTTTATTTTTTTTCATTTGTATACAGTACAGGGTATGTGAACTTAAGTTGAGGACAAATATGGGAACTATGGTGGGTTTTGATTAAGAACTATGTAACTCAGAGTTGTGGCAGATCAAAGAATCTAATGTGAGGAGCATTTGGTATCGTGTCTAGATTACTGAAGCAGAACTTTTTTTTTTAAAGAATAGTTTATTTAAATTTATTTTATGTGTTAGGTTTCAGATCTCCTGGAACTGGGATTACAGACAGTTGTGAGCTGCCATGTGGATGCTGGGAATTGAACTCAGGTCTTCTGGAAGAGCAGTCAATGAGTGCTCTTTACCACTGAACTGTACCGCCCGCCTGTACTATGTGACAGTACAGCACTACTCCTGTATTGCAGCGCCTGCACTACAGGACCATTCGCAAGCAGGGCAAGGGCCTGGAGATTTAAACACACAAAGACACATAGACAGAGACACTGGTCATCCTTGAAACAGGAATGCACCCTTTATTGTGTCCAGGGACAGCTTATATAGGGATCCTTAACTGATAGCCACGCCCCAGCCAAACCTACCAGAAACCACTTCCCTGCCATCAGGAACTCCTGAGGGTCTCGTGCTCAGAGCAGCTGTAAGCATAACACGTTGTTTACAAGAAATTCAGGATCTGGGGGTTCACAGCTCCCAACACTGAACCGTCTTTCCAGCCTCTGAAGCAGAATTCTTGTTACTTTAAGACTCATTTAGAAAGCCACATACTTGAAGTTCAGACAAACAATGTAGAGTTCATTTGTTTTCTTTTTCTGTTTTGCATAGTTAAGTTTTTGTGTTCTTGAAAAATCTTGTCCTCTAATTTAGATGCACATAAAAATTGCCAAAATTGTTAAATTGGATTGCTTGATTTCCTCAAATATGACATCAGCATTTTTGGTCTTGAATGTTTATCTGCCTTTAAATTCATTTCAAACCATCATAAATACTCGTTGGGTGGGTTCTTTTAGGAAGTGTGGGGTTCAGAAGAGTGAGGTGTTTTTCTGATACAGGAAGTTAGAAGAGTGGGAGCCTGTATATCTTTTATATTGTAGTGATGAGTACCTGAGAGGAACTATGTAAGGGGTGGGGAAGATTTATCTTGACTCATGGTCTCAGAAATTTCAAAACTAACATAATTGGTTTTGGGCATAAATGGTATCTCCCTCCAACCATTTGAATTCACTCTTTAGCCCAGGCTAGTATGTAATCCTTCTGTCTCAGGCTCCCTAGTAACTGGTGTGATAGACTTGTACGCTCAAGGCCAGCTTTACCATACATAACCTTACTGTACTAAAGGGAATGACGTTTCTTTTTGTCCTCTGAATAACTTTAGACTCCAAGGACATAAGTATATTTTGTCTAGAGTACTGGTTCTCAGCCTTCTGAATGCTGTGATCCTTTAATACAGTTCTCATGTTGTGGTGACCCCCAACCATATAGTTATTCCTTTGCTACTTTATAACTGCAATTTTGGTACTGTTATGAATCATAATGCAAATGTGGCTCTAGGGAGTCATGACAGGTTGAGAAGTGCTGGTCTAGAATATACATCCATATAGCAGACCAATTCTAATAGCATACATCTAATAGAAGAAAAAATAATTTGCTTCCCATGTAGTATCTGCCTGTGATTTTGTTAGAATTATTGACAACTTACGTTGGTCTGTGGATCAAAAAATTATTTTCAGGTTCCTTTTGTCTTTTTATCCTTCAGAAGCCAAGCTTTTTATTATACTTTTTTTCCTAATAAGGTTTGATTTGGGATTTTGAAGGGACAGTTTTCTTGAATCTCCAAGGCCATGGTTCTCACTTCTACTTTGGATAAAGATTTTCATCTATTACTTTCTTCCAAGGAGGCGTGGTGCACAGTGATGATATGTTTGTCTTTTTTCTTTGTTTGTTTTTATGAGACAGAGCTTCTTTGTGTATCCTTGACTGTCCTGGAACGTGTAGAGCAACCAGACCAGGCTGGCCTCGAACTCAGAGATCTGCCTCTCTCTGCTTCCCAAGTGCTGGGATTATAGGCGTGCACTGCTACCACTCAGTGTGTTTGTTGTTTTCTTGGATTCTCTTCTCTCTCTTTGATTTTGCCCCGTTTTTATTTTTCAGAATGATGGTTTCATTTTGGCACTTCTCAATACTATTGATTTTTCACAAATAGTCAACTTCTTTTCTTTTCTTTCTCCTTTTTTCAATTTCCAGCTTCGAAGTGAAAAGGAGACGCGGAATAAGCTCATTGAGTCAGACCTGAATAGAAAGTTTCAGAGTGGACTCTTCAAGAAGTAAGATACAAACTTACTTATATGTAAGGAATAAGATGCACTTGGTGTTCTGTGTATGTTTGAGGATTTTGGGGGGATTTATTGTTTGTTTGTTTGTTTGAGACAGCGTTTCTCTGTAGCTTTGGAGCCTGTCTTGGAAGTCACTCTATAGACCAGGCCGGCCTTGAACTCACAGAGATCTGCCTGCCTCTGCCTCCCAAGTGCTGGGATTAAAGATGTGTGCCACCACTGCCCAGCAATACTTAAGGATTTTCATATTAAAACGAACCTGTGTTTGATTTAAGTCAAATGATCTTCCAATGTAGAATATTCTGGGAAGATGGCACTGCGATGGGGGCTCTGAGAATAAATGAATATGCTTCACACTGAGAAGCTGTGCTGGCAGCGTCTCTTTTAGCTTAGCCTAGAAGTTCCTAGTTCTGCCCTCTCCACTTCTTACCCTGGGTGTTTCCTCCGCTCAAGAATTTGTTTATTTGTTTACCATTGTTTCAGTACCTAGCAAAATTTCTGGTATGTAATAAAACTCAGTAAAGATTTTTTTGTTGACTTTAAAAAATGTTTATCTGCCCCTTTACCATCTTATCCTTGCTGTTCGTGGTTCTCTTTTATTTGTATGTTGAAGAGACAAACTCTCCTTGAGTTATACTCTAAAATCAATAATAAACCTCAGACTGTTGAAAAGCCAAGGGTCCAAGAAAACACACAGGTATAAGGATGTCCATGTTTTTACTGTTGCTGCTACATACAGATTTATAGATTTGTTCCCTTTGATATACCTGATTGTCAGTGAACTTAAATGGTTTGTCATTTCTGAATTGCTTCCAAATTATTTAGCAAGGAGAAGATGCTTTATGAGGAAGAAAGCCCCAAGTCCCAAGAAACAGAGGAAGAAAACAAGGACTCCAGCAGCTCCAGCTCAGAGGAAGAGGAAGGTGAAGAAGAAGAATCAGAAACTGAGAAGGAGGCAGGTAATGCAAAGGCCTTTCATGTCTGCTGCCCGTCAGGGGTTGGTCAGGCCTCACAGCTTTCAGAAAGAGCTTGAAGTACAGTTTGCAAGAGATTGAATTGCTAATGACAATATGTATAAAAGCCTTGAGCTTAGTTAAAATGTACTTGTCAGTTCTAATGCAGCCACATAGTGAGGTACATAGAGAAATCTTGCACGAGAGAGCCTGATGTCCTGTCCTTAGATTGATATGTCAACTATAGAGTCCACGAAGCCAGTATACTGAGATGCATGGGGCTTATAGAGACTTTATAGGTCAAATGTTTTTAACACACTGGTAAAAATTTGCATTTATTTATTATGTTACTCTCATTCTCAAAACTGAATCCTAATTTATTTTCTTGTTTTGTAAACTTCTTTAGTTTCCTAGTGAAGGAATTTGTGAAAGAACAAATCAGACTTACTTTTATTACTCTTATTAGTAATATATGCAATTATCCTTCAGTGTCATGGGAGACTGACCCAGGAGGTAATCAAAAGCTTTAGATATACAAGTCTCTTATATATTGGTATAGTATTTGCATAGAACTTGTATGCACCTGCCTGTGTCCTTCAAACCATCTCTCAGCTTTTATATTACCTGGTACAGTGTAAATAACTATTATACTATATTGCTTTGGGAATGATGAAAATGTAAAGGCACATATCTGTAAAAAAGAAAAATAAAAACAAAAACTGTATATTTAGCACAAATTCAAGATCATAGTTTTTGTTTCCAGATTATTTTTAGTTTGTTATAAGTTGAAGAACTGAGGTTGTATATTAGTGTTTGACTTTGCTGATAGTTTCTCTCAATCATGGGAGAATACTGCTCTTAATTCATGTCTTAATTTGAGGTTCATTGACTGGCACCAAAGGAAGTTAGATGTTGAGGTTTATAGAGAGGGCGGCATCCAGTAAGTTTTCAGTAAAAGAAAAAGAACTTTATATTCACGGAACCTTGGTTTCCTTTAAATTATCTATTTTATTATTTTCGTGTGTATGGGTGTTTTGCCTGCTTGTCTGTGCACCACATGCATGCAGTCCTTGTGGAAGCCAGAAAACAGTATCAGATCCTGGAACTGGAGTTACAGATGGTTGTGAGCTGCCATGTGGGAGCTGGAAATGGAACCAGGGTTCTCTGGACAAGAAACCAATGCTCTTGTCTGTTTATCCATTTCTGCAGCCACTTAAAAAATTTAAATTTTTATTATTATTTGTGGCTTATTCTGAAAATGCTTGTATTATATCCACCAAAAGTTACAAATGTGTATTTCTTGTTCTTTGTGTTATTTACTGAGTATCCCCATAGTCTAATCTTCACACAGTATCTGGAATTCATATTTGGTTCTGCTCTATGCTACATTTTTCTGTTGTTCTTGCTAGTTACTATGGCATTAGGAAAATGGGAGGGAGCTACCAAAACTGTTGCTATTGCTTCATAGTTTATACTCCTGCGTCAGGTCTTACTCTTTATAGACTGTCTTGGTTTGGGTTACTATTGCTATGATGAAACACTGTGATCAAAAGCAAGTTGGGGAGGAAAGGATTTATTTGTCTTACGTTTCCATACTCATAGTCCATCACTGAAGGAAGTCAGGACAGGAATTCAAACATGGTCGTAACTTGGAGTCAGGGGCTGATACAGAGGGCATAGAGGGATGCTGCTTATATAGAAGGTGCAGCCTTCTTCCTTATAGAATCCAGGACCACCAGCCCAGGGATGGCACCACCTACAATAGGCTGGGCCCTCCCCCTGTTAATTGCTAATTGAGGAAATGTACAATGAGCTTGCCTATCGCTTGATCTTGTGGAGGCTGTTTTTCTTTTTTTCTTTTCTTTCTATTTTTTGATACACAGAGTTCCTCTGTGTAGCCTCAGCTGTTATGTCCTGAAACTCACTCTGTAGATCAGACTGGCTTTGAACTTACAGAGATCTGCGTACCTCTGTCTCCAGAGTGCTGTCACCACCACCCAGCTGGAGGCATTTATTTTATTTATTTATTTATTTATTTATTTATTAAAAATTTCCACCTCCTCCCTGCCTCCCTTTTCCCTCCCCCTCCCCACCTTCCCCTCCTTCTCTAGTCCTAAGAGCAGTCAGGGTTCCCTGCCCCGTGGGAAGTTCAAGGTCCTCCCCTCTCCATCCAGGTCTATAAAGGTGAGCATCCAAACAAACCAGGCTCCCACAGAGTCAGTCCATGCAGTAGAATCAAAACCCCGTGCCGTTGTCCTTGGCTTCTCAGTCAGCCTTCATTGCCAGCCACATTCAGAATGTCCAGTTTGATCACATGCTCCTTCAGTCCGAGTCCAGCTGGCCTTGGTGAGCTCCCATTAGATCAGTCCCACCCTCTCAGTGGGTGGATGCACCCTTCATGGTCCTGACGTCCTTGCTCATGTTCTCCTGGAGGCATTTTCTTAATTGAGGTTCCCTCTTCTCAAATGATTTTAGTTTGTGTCAATTTTACATAAAACTGTCTAGCACACAGACCATGTCTATGCTGCTTTGGGGATAAAATATTGACAACACCCTTACGATCAACGTATACTTCTGTTTAGACATCTGTGCCAGCACCCTCATCCCATCTTTGTTTGTAGAATAAGTCCCAAACCCTGTAGCCTAGCCTTCAAGGCCTCAGATTGTCTAGCTCCAGCAGATGTTTCCAGTACTCATTGGCAAGATTCCTCAAATATGACCTCAGCATTCCTGGTCTTGAATGTTCATCTGTGCCTTTGAATTCATTTCAAACTATCATAAATACTCGTTGGGTGGGTTCTTTTAGGAAGTGTGGGGTTCAGAAGAGTGAGGTGTTTTTCTGATACAGGAAGTTAGAAGAGTTGGAGTCTGTATTAATATCTTTTATATTGTAGTGATGAGTACCTGAGAAGAACTGTGTAAGGGGTGGGGAAGATTTATCTTGACTCATGGTCTCATAGATTGCAGTCTATGGTCAATTGACTCCATGTTTCAGGGCCTGTATCATGGTGTCAGATAGGTGTCGTAGACAGAGATGCTCAAGTTTTAACAGCCGGGAAATAGAGACAGAAAAGGGTCAGAATCAAGATACTCCCTGGTTTGTTTTTTGTGTTTTTTTTTTAATCTGCTGCTCAATGGCTACAGATGATCCTACCACTGCCTAAGGCCATGCGCTGGGGAGCCTTTGCATCCTGCTGCTGTATCCGCTGCTGTATCCTGCTGCTGCTTCAGCCGGCTCCCCCTCCCCCCCCACACACATAGGGAAACAAATGTTTTTAACTAAGTCTCTATCTTTCTATTTTATCAATAAAATAGGAGCCAGATGCTAGGGTAAAAACCTGCTAGCTCAGAGAGGCAGAGAAAGCAGCAGGGCAGTCTTCCTCTTCAACCATGACTCAGAAAGAGAGCTTCTCCTACTCTGTCTGAGAACAAAGCTCCTCCAACCAGATGCTCCTCCCTTCTAGTTCCTGTGCCTCTCTTCAACCTCTCAACTTCCCCTCACACTCTTTGGTTACTTCCAGTCACTGGCTGCTTGTGCCTCTCTAACCTATGGTTTATTTTATTTAATTAATGCAATCTCGGGGTTCTCAGTATGATAAAATATCCTGCAACAACTTAGTGACCTGCTTACTTCCTCCCATCTCCTAAGAATGCTACCAAATTATGAGTCTGTCAGTCCATCAGTTAAGTCAGAGCCCTTAGGACCAGTTACCTCTAATAGTTAGTGTCATAGTTACAGACACCAACTAGGAACTAAGTTTTCAGTACTTGAACCTAGACCTGTGGTAGTTGTCTTGTCAGCTTGATGGGATCTAGAATCACTTTGAACACAAATTTCTGATCATGCCTGTGAAGGACTTTCTAGATTAGGTTATGATTGAGGTAGGAAGATGCAACATAAATTTGGATGGTGTTATTCTGTAGTTTGTGTTCCTAGGCTACATTAAAAAAGAGAGAGTGGGAGCAGATCTCTGTGAGTTCGAGGCCAGTCTGATCTACAAGAGCTACTTCCAGGACAGGCTCTAAAGCTACAGAGAAACCCTATCTCGAAAAACCAAAAAAAGAGGGGGGGGGGGGGAGAGGGCGCTGAGTGCATACAAGTATTTGTGTGACTGTGGACATGATGTGTCCAGCCACACTACTCCTGCCTAACTTTCCTACCATGATGAACTATATATCCTAGAACTATAAGCCACACCACCTTCATTAAGTTGCTTTTGTTATAAGACAGTAACTAATATAAGCTCCTTCCTGTGTTTTCCTACCCCGTGCCTTTCACTCCATTTCTGTCTCTATAGCACTGTGCACTTACTTCTGAAGTTGTAGTTTCTACCAGTTTTTCTGGGAACACTGAGTTTATTATTATACTTGAGATTTCAGCATACAACAGACATTCATATTCATTAAGTGGTTTTGTTGACTCTACCTAGTAGGAGAATAGAAGACATTATGAATAAAATACATCTCATGTGAGAGAGGTAAATACAATCGCTGGTATTCACTGGTAGGAAAGATTGTAACTCATTCTGGGATTATAATACAACTTTACATCTCTTTAGTGCTTTTTACTTTACAATACACTTGAACAATTTTATTTAATCCCCACAACCATACTTTAGGGCATATGTTATTACCACTCTGTTTTTAGAATGAGATATTGACACTATATGGCATTACATGAGCTAGGTTTCATTGCTAGCCAATGGCACTGTTCCCTGGGCATAGAAATCCTCAATTTAGGAGGGAAAAGTGGAAATTCTCTATATAAGAAGTAAAAGTGGAAAACCATAGAAAAGAGGAGCTGGAGAGATGGCTTGGCTATTAAGAACACTTGCTACTCTTGCTGACGATCCAAATTCAGTTCCCAGCACTCGTGGCAACAACTGACAGCTGTCTGTAACTCCAACTTCAGGGGATCTGATGCTCTCTTCTCATGCGGTGGGCACCAAGTAGGCATGTGGTACACATACATATGCAGGCCAAAACACATATAAAACAATAATAAA